CGATATATATATAACAAAAACAAAGAATTATGTCTTGGTTACGAGTTTGGAAGTAGCTTATTTAACAAAAACAAAGGTCAAAATCTTTAATGAGTCTCTTTAGTGAATTTTCTTCATTTAATTTTATGTTGCCCAATAATCAACTTAGGACTTACATCAATTATGAGTAGTAGTATCACATTTGCATCTTTTAAAAAGAATTGTTAATATTTCAAAAAAGTTAGTTGTAATCAAATTTACATATTGGTTATTTGAAATTAGCAATAATTTTCTTTTTTTTTCACAAACAATTACAAACCCTCTTCTACAATTAAAATTATGAAAAATAAGTTAAATAATTTAATAAGGTGTTGATGAATGATTGCCTTGTAACTTATATATAGAAGGATGTGTACAATAATATATCATTTTTTTTCAAAACAAAAAATCACGTAAATAACAATTATAAAGTATGGAATGTATTTGATTAAATATATTATATTTTTTATTATTTTAACATTTACAAGAAAAAGGATCAGTTAAAATAACTTAAAAACCAAATTGAGTTTTAAACCACCGGAATAAAATATAACAAATGTTCTTCAATCCTATTCAAAATTTGAAGCACCCACAAAAAAGTTAGATAAGAACCCAAAATGAGTTCTAGCAACAAAAGTCAAATTTCATAAAATTTAAATGTCTGACAATGCAATGCAAAATATTATTTTGTTCCAAAATATTAGGTTTTAATGCATAAAAAGATGTTTCTGATTCAAAATCTTTAAATTCAACTCAACTCCCCCATCAGATTTAATGTTCCATGTAGGCCATAGCAATAATTAGAAATTTATTTCCCGTGTCTCTACAGGAGAATCACAACCTTCTTCTCTCATTTTTGTATCTAATTTTCTCAGCATTTCATATATATGATCAGATTCACCATGGAATCTATCACCAGCCACGAAACTATGGACCTCATTCTTTATCTCAATCATGCTTTGACCAATAATCTTCTTCAATCTATTCTCCTTTACCAATGTCCTGAGTTTTGCAGCATCATGCCAATTCTTGTCCACACAATATATATTTGATAAGAGTATATAATAGCCTGCGTGATTAGGGTCTAATGGGAAAAGATTTTGAGCTGCAAGCTCTCCCATCTTTATATTTTGATGTATACGACATGCACCAAGTAAGGCTCCCCATACATGAGGCCCAGGTAGCATGGGCATGTCATTAATCACGTCCAACGCCTTATCCAACTCTCCCATTCGACCAAGAAGATCAACCATTATCCCATAATGCTCTGAATGGGGAATCAATTGGTACTCATTCACCATAACATGAAATATCTCTATCCCTTCTTCAATCAAACCTGCATGACTACAGGCAGATAGAATTGAAACAAAAGTTATATCATTAGGCTTAACATGCGAATGATTAGCCATCTCATAAAATAGTTTCAAAGCCTCTTCTCCTTGCCCATGGGATCCGTAAGCTGCAATTATTGAGCTCCAGGTGACAACATCTTTATGTATCATTCCTCTGAAAACCTTGTTAGCATTATCTATGCTACTGCATTTTGCATACAACTCTATGAGTGACGCTCCAATAAATTCATTACTGTCAAATCCACTTTTAGTTACAAATGCATGAAGACATACAGCTTGTCGAAGAATCCCCAATTCCGAACTTGCTGCAAGAATCTTCACTAGAGCAATAGCATCAGGTCGAGTTCCATTAGATAACATGTTGCAGAAAATCCCCATGGACTTATGAGGCATTCCAATTTCAGCATAGCCACTAAACAAAACAGCCCAAGAAACTACGTCCTTCTTGGGCATCCTGTTGAAAAGGTCATTTGCATTTTCAGGTGAAAAGCACTTCATGTACATGTCCATAAGAGCTGTAGAGACATTGATATCCAACTCAAAACCATAATTGACTGCTAATTTATGAATCTGCATACCTTCTTCCAATTTTGAAGTGGAAGCACAAGCTCGCAGTGCACTAACCACAGTAACCCTGTTGGGTTTAATTCTCTTATCTATCATTTCATTGTAAAGATTTAATGCATTGGTTTCAGCTCCGTTATCAGCATAACAGGCAATCATTGAGCTCCAAGATATAATATCTTTATTTGGCATTTCCCTGAACAAATTAGCTGCACTCTTGATGGAACCAGTTTTTCCATATAAATTTAGCATAGAATTGGCCAAACATAGCTTAGTATCAAAACCCCTTCGTTTTACAAAACCATGTATACTTCTTCCAAGATTAAAATCAGATAACTGAGCACAAGCAGAAGCAGCACTAACAAGTGTTACTGGATCAGGACTTATTTGCTCCAACAATACCATTCGGGAGAAAAATGCAAGTGCAAGTTCAGGACTTCCATTCTGCTCATACCCAGTAACTATTGAAGTCCATAAAACCACATCTGGTTTTGGATACTCCACAAACACTTTCACAGCATCATTCATTTGTCCACACTTTGAATACAACTCAATCAATGCAGACCCCACAAACATGTCATTATCTATCTTCTTCTTGAGAAATCCATGAATCGTTTTCCCCAGCCCAAGCTTCCGCAAACCTGCACATGATTTTAAGGCAATAGACACTGTGTAATTGTCAGGTCTTTCCTCAGTTGACACCGCATTGGCATTCATTTGATGGAATAGAGATATCGCCTCTACCCATTCTCCTTCTGAAAAATAGCTCCTAAGCAAAGCATTCCATAGATAGACAGTTTTACAAGGTGTTTCTTCAAACAGCTTATATGCATGGCAAAGTGATGCATATCTAGCATAAAGAACATTAAGCTTGGTCGCAATGAAACTATCATGGACAAGGCCTACTTTCAAACACTGTGAGTGCAACTGTGTAATTGATATCTTACTGCAGCACGTTTCCAATAGCTTGACTAAAAGATCCCTCCTTTTCATGTACAACGAATGATAGCTTTTATAAGCTTTAAAAGATCATCTTAATTAGTTAGCTTCTGGCTTCCAAGCTTTCAATTGTATTTTATTTATGCAAGCAGCTCTGTTTTTGGTGGCTTTAGCAGCATGTCTGTTGAGAAAACCAGGTAACCTAAACAATTAGTTCATGGGCATTTATTTAACATTCCTTGGTTGAATCAAAGAACGCAAAGAGAAACAGCACTAACAAAGCACTAATTACAACAATTAATAACTTATGCCATCTTCCTTCTCAATCAATTCTTTCCTTTATTTTCCCTTTTAGTTTAAATGAGATGGCAGCAGGAAGCACAGAAATTTTTAATATAGAGATATATTAATATATGCTATATAGATAGATATATAGATAATTTGTATTCAGAAACATAAAAATAACAATGAATTGGCTTGCAAGTTGCAGCAGCAACTTGAGGTTTATCAGGAAGAAACACGTAGGTATGAAAAGAAAACAACCAGTAGTCAGATCACACCTAGCAGGGAGAGTACTTCAAAGGCAAAGGTGAATGAAATTGAAAGCTTAAGTTCAGATAGAACTGTCAAATGGACCAACCCAGTCCAACCCTTGCCCATATGGACCAGAGGCAAAAATCCCACAGAGCCTTGATGTTGAAGGCTAGGAAAGTAGGGATAGGACTATGGACAATTTAGCAATGTTTTAAAAAATAAATTAATAAGGGTGGATGTTAGGGAAAACCCCTGTATGCCTATTTAAAATTAAATCTTGTAATAAAATACTTACTATTACAAAAGGATATAAAAACAGAGTCAAACTGCATTTATGGGGGACATCCAAAGCATGGTAACTTTATACCACGATGATGACAATGTGTAACATATAGCATGCAATGCTAAACATGAAGCAGGGCAGGAAATATAGGATTAAATTTCTTATCTCACCATCCAAGGTTTAAAAGAACCGAATTGTGTGTAATAAACTGAACCATTTGAACACCATCACTCATGAAAGCAAGGTAATAAATAATAGTAGGCACTGGAAGAAAAAAAAATTAAGTATTTAACATCTGGATAAAACCAAATAACAAAAGGATTAAAGAAACAGTTATAATTTTGTCAAAAAATCAAAGATGCGTATAAATGGAATTCCAATTTAACAAATAACTTCTTGAACATCCCAATTCTTATAGTAGTGTTCTTCATTATCTTTCACTACAATAGTACAGAAGAACTAAATAAAAAACATTAAACTGAGCCAATCAACCATTACATTTAATTGACATAAATTTTGGAATTTTCACACGTCAACACTAAGTTCCCCTTGGCCAAGAAGATTTGTGCTAAAACAAGCTAATGCAGTCCCCCAAAGCTATAAACAACAAACCAAGGCCCATCAGAGGGACAAAATTTTTCATTTCAAAGTTCATCATGTCATTCCAAAAGAGAAACAAATTTGGAAAAGGACCAAATGATCTGAAATATATTGAATATCCAAAGTAAAATGATAATGATAGTCATACATACTAGGACAGCAAAGTATATTAGAAAGCAGTCCAATATTCAAGTTTAATTTTAATCATCCAAAAGAAGAATTGAACAAGGCATAATTTAGATAATCAATCCAATAAGTACCACAAAATTGCATTGTTTGACAAGAAACAGAACCTGATAGCTGTAGGTGGCTTTAAATAAACAATCAAGTTCAGAAAATAATCAACACAGCATGAATAGCTAACCTGGTACAACAGTTCTCATCCAACAGTAAGTAAAAAAGAAAAGGACAAATAAAGTACAAGCTCGGCATTTTCAAAATGAGTACCTCTTTCTAAAAGCATAGTTCATATAGAAGCACAACCCCAACAATATAAAGGTTTCAAAAGGTCATATTCATAGACATTCCTAAAACCCATTTTTACCCAATATGCAAAGAACCTCAAATATTGAATGGTACTACCATAACAATCGTTGCGATTTGCATTGCAGACTCATGCCCTGAAACATTTTCTTCAGTACGCAGTGATACAAGCTTTTCTTCACAGATTGCACTCCCACAAAAGGATACAGAGAAGAGACTATCTAACATTCACTATGCAATTTCAACTGTGCCTCAAGTTTAATTATCTCAGCCAACACAACAACATGCAACCAGAAGAAATATATTTTAATAGTTTAACCATCAAATTAACGTTCACCACTCATATAAAAGAACCCATTACATTGCCCATAACATTCTTTATTTCAATTAACATCAGCACATAGGAACCCTTAGAGCCCATTTTAATAAAAGCCCATTCGAATAAAATAGGGTTTTCGATTTCAATATTTTGTGTTTGAGCTCGTATGGAACAATCAATGGAGCAAAAGAAAAAGGCAAAACAAATTAAGTAAACAAAGTGAACTACAGAATAAAATGGTGCAAACAATGAACTCGAGTAACTGTGAAACAGTGAGAAAAAAGAACGAATTAAATGGTGCATACCTCAAGTCTCAAGAACCACGTAAATACCTAGTTTCATAAACCTAACTGCTCTTTTTGGAGCTTTGAATCAATGAACCTTAAATTGCTCATATAATTTAAAAAGTCTTACATGTGGACTTGAACCTTGAGAATAAATTTACTTCCAATTCTTTAAATTTAAAATTATTATTTTTATCTACATAATTTTTAAAAAATTTATTTTAATTATTTAATTTATAAATAACACATTTAAAACTCACACATTCAAATAATTATACAATAACAATTAAATTTAATATAATATTTTTATTAATAAGAATATCTCTAACAATATTTAAGTACAAATCCTATAATAGGATTTTTTTTTTTTGAAATTACAATAGCTAAAAAAATCGATTTTAAATTTAAAAAATTAAAAAATTTATTTGAAATTTGAGAAATTAATAATATATTTAAATATTTTAAAAATAATTGTTAATACAATAGAAAATTGATAATAAACTAGTTAATTAAGAATTAGTTAAAATTGAGTACAAACATGACAGTTAGGGATATAAAAAATGCATATTCACATATATTTGAGGATAAAATGTGTTACCGTAGAAAATGAATATTATAAATAGATACCTACAAATAATGAATATAAGTATTTTCTAAACTTGGATGTTAATAGGAGGGGTAAGGGTATCATAGTATCCTTACATATAGGTATTTGTTAATATTCAATTACATAATTATATATTAAATTTTTAAAAACGTATCAAAATAAGGTACTTTAACAATTAAATTAATTTTTAAATTGAAGAATCTTGAGTAATAAAATTAATTAAAAAATTTGAATAGTTTAAGTTTTCCCTTTTAAATTATTAATTTTAATCAAATTATTAGAATAAATAGCAATTATTATTAAAAAAAATATGTGAATACTCATTTAACAGATACCTACATGAATATAAGGATGAATACAAGTAAGGATATAAGGTCAATATTTATCTTAAGGGGATAGTAAGGAACTATTACCCTGTCTCATTGTCATTCCTAAGTGTAGTGAATCAATTTAAACTGGTTTTATAAAATAAAATAATGTCTTTTTTTTTAAAATAATAATAATACAACCTTTTTCAATTCTAAAATATTTTTAAAAAAAGAAAAATGTCAAGACATTGAATAAAAAATAAAAGTTAAATATAATTAGAATTAAACATGTTTTGAGATCAAATTTGAAATAAGTTTATTTTTAGTATTTTAATTTTAAAATTAATCTTTTCAGTATTGTGATTTAGAGAAAAAATGTTTTAATTACTAAGAATCACCTAATATTTGGATAAAGGTAGGGTGGAAAAATGGGTCGTGACTCCCAAGTTGGCTCGCTGGCCCGCCAAGAATTTGTGGGTCGAGTCCATCATTTCGCCAAGTCCGCCCCACCAACCCGTCGGGCCAAATGGCGGGCTAACCATCACAACCCGTCAGCCCGCATTTGAGGTTCCTGTTAAAAAAATAGTATTTTGATTTTGATTTTGTTGTAAGTAGACTAATTTTTATTTGATTTTGTCGTAAGTTTGTAATTTGTTTTTATTGAACATATATTATGCACAATATGTATGCATTTTCAATTTCATGTGGTTATATTTATTTATTTGTAGTAGTTTTTTATTTGAATATAAGATACATTTTTTTTGTATTTTTTTTAGTGGTATGCAGGTTAACCCGCCGGCCCACCAACCCGCCCATAGGGGCGAGGTGGGCCAACATTCCCAGCCCGTTTTTCAATGGTAAGCCGAGCCAAAACAAGTTAGACTGGCCCATTTTACCACCCCTAGATAAAAGGATTCGAATAAATTTTTAAAAAACTACATGATAAAAAATCTATTTTAAATTTAAGAGATTAAAAACTAATTTACCACAAATATTAAAAGAATATTAAAGGCATATTTGTTAATGTACTTCTACATAATGTAATTTTTTAAGAGATTCTAAGTAATATATTAGTAACTAATAAAAAAATTTATTATTAATTTTTATAATGAAAGTCTTAATGTACTTATTGGTAAGATTTAATAAATAAATAAAAATAGTATCAAAAGTCAAGTTGTTATTACCAAGAAGGACTTTGCATTGTTTCATGTTTCTTCTAGCCATCAACTTGCATATACGCTTACCAAACCCCTTAACACTACACAACATAAATGGTTAATGTCCCAAATTGATGTTGCCTCCTCCACCACCATCTTGTGGGATGTGTTAGTATAATTAGTTAAAATATTGTGATTGAATTATTTAAATAATTGTAATTAATATCTTTTGAATATTTATTCATATCTTTTGAATATTTATCCTTTGATCATGTATATATATTTTTTGTTGTAACACCCCAATTTTCACAGATTATACAAAGGCTCAAAGTCCAATAATGGTGATTTAGTAGCCTAGAACGGGTCGTTCTCAAACTGGAACGGGTCGTTTCAAACTACTAAAAAGACCTATTTTTTGTAGCCTAGAATGGGTCTTTCCCAAACTGGAACGGACCGTTCCAAACTACTAAAATGGCCTATAATCCTAGTTGAGAATGAGTCGTTCTGGTTTAAGAACGGGTCATTCCAAACATGATCGTTATATATTAAAATGCAACCCCAGAACGGGCCGTTATAGATGTGAATTTTACACATGACGAATGAGTCCAGAATGGGCCGTTCCGGATCCGACACGGGCCATTCTGGCCACTCCTGACAACTATAAATAGCAGACTCTGGCACTACTTCTAGACACACTCTCTAAAGACCAAGGAGAACCAAGAGAAGGAGATCAACCAGATTCCACTCTAGCTTCGTCTTCTACTTATCCAGGTAAGGGGGAGTGAGAAACCTTTCTCGGGGGTTTGGGAATAATTGTTGGGTAGTAGGATTGACCCTCAATCCCTTGCCTGATGCATGCTTCTAGGAACAGGCAAAATATGACTATTTTATGTTTTGCCTTCTGATTCTTCTGTTGTGTTCCTTGTTGAATGTGATGTATGAATATGTGATTAATTTTGAAAATAAACAAGTTTTGATATGAATTAGAGTGCTCCGTGGGTTCCTGAGAGAACCCTATGAGAAATAGGCAAAATATGAATGTTTTCTATTTTGCTTTCTAAATATTATGTTGCGTTCCTTGTGTGATGTAGAGTGTAAATATGTATTTGATTTCAAAATTAGATAAGTTTTGATATGAATTAGAGTGTTCTATGGGTTCCTGTGCGAAACCCTATGAGGAATAATTATGAGTATGACTATGTGAAATATGAACAAATGACATAAGACATGATGTGAATGAGAATGTGCTAATGTGAACATTATGACTATGAGAATGTGAAACGTGATGAAATGAGATAAGTTATGACCATGAGAATGTGAAATGTGATGAAATGAGATAAGACATGAAATTCCATGACAAGTGAAATGTTGAGTCAATGAAAAAGTGAATGTGTGACGTGCATCATGTGCATATATGATCTATTCTAGGTGTGCCGCTTAAGCCGCATACCAGTGATGTAACAAGCTAACAAGGTGTACCTTGAGTCACTAGTGATGTAACAAGCTAACAAGGTGTACCTTGGGTCACTAGTGATGTAACAAGCTAACAATGTGTACCTTGGGTCACCATTGATGTAACAAGCTAACAAGGTGTACCTTGGGTCACCAGTGATGTAACAAGTTATTCTAGGTGTACCTTTGGTTACCAATGATGTATTCATGAAGTGATAAGAAATGTGAAACTTTCGTATAGCGCCACATGCATGCATTTATGACTCCATGACATCATTGTAGGATAAATGAGTGTACATGTGATATTGATTATGTATGTGTATTGTTTGTACGTGATTGGTGCTTGTAACTTGTAATATGTTTGTTGTTTGTGTGCTATCTAACCTTTATTTCTGCACCTGAACCTGAGTGAGATGTTTCTCACTCCCTTATTGTTCTTTGTATGTGTTTAAATTGCGTTGCAGGTGATCATCAGCATGAAGATGTTGGTGATGAGGCTTAGGGTTTAGTTAGGCATGCTCTAATAGGATATATGACATCGGGGCATAGCTAGGCTTAGTTTAGGATGCTATTAAACTATTTGAAAACTCATTTTTATTTCTTTGTAATTTCACTGACATGTTATTTGGATTAAGTTTATGAATGTGAACTCTTTACCCCTTATGTGGTTGGAGATTTGGTTGTTTTTAATGATGAAGAATTTTATTTTTATAATTATCGTATATGTATGTTGGGGTAGAGAGTGTCACAGTTGTATTGAAAATACTCGAAATAAGAAAACTTGATTTTATTTTATTCTCTATAAATCCCAGTTTGAACAGTCATGATCAAAGGTGGTACAACTTTACTTTTGGCTTAAGTATGTAGTCATGATCAGATATATCACTTTACTCTTATAAGAGTTATAGGAACTGACGTGATGAAAAAAAGTTATACATCTTAATTAAACAAAAAAAATTGTTTAAATATATATATTTATGAGAATCAAATTCGGTACTAGATTTTTACAACACTCACATCTAGTTAAAATATATTTTTTAATTCATTAAATGAAGTAAACTTATTTTGGTCTCTCATTTAAAATTAATTTTTAGTCATATAATTTTTAAAAGAAAAATACTTATTTCAATCTCTTTGCTCAAATATCATTAGTAAATTTGTAAAAAAAAATTATATATTACTAAATTTGTCATACAAAACCCACTTAATTCAGTTTATCCTTCTATAATGGTAATCTTAAAGAACTAAAAATAAGTTTTTTTTTTTTTTTTAAATTGCAGCACTAAAAAATAATTTTAAATTTAAAGGGGCAATGGATAAACAAAAAATTGAAGGAGAAAAACAAATTTCACCCAAATTTAAAGGACTGAAATATATTCAACACATATTCTTATTATTTAATTATCTGTTATAAACCGTTTATTTTATAAGCATGAAATATGATCTTTATTAGTTTAAAATTTTGCCTAACTTGATTCTCTTAAAATTTTTATTTTTTTACTTGCGAATATACTTCGGAATTAGGAACTATTTTGTGGAGGATCAAGTTTGGAGGTATGTTTACATGCTTGTATACTTGTGTATGTGATTTGATAGTGACTTCTGGTCGTGTAGCAAATGGATGCAATGCAAGTTAAACTCGACTCAAATTTCATATGTAATTGAGTTGGTACTCCGTACCTTTTCTAATGAATATTCAATTGGTTAATGATTGCCATGATCAAATAGAATGTGACCAGATAAACTTCACCTACAACATCGAAAATCCAGACTAGAGTCACCACTTTAGAGAAATTTTTTCCAAACCATCACTTATAACCTGAAGATTAATACTGCTGCTTTGCCTATGTCAAAAGACACCAAACAAACAAAAATATCTTACTACGTTTACATGCACAAATCTCAAACTGAAAGGACTTCAGATAAAGCAAAACCAACCCAAGGAATAACCTTAGTTCAAGAACATCAGAAAAAACAAGAACATCAGACCCGTGTTATGCATTGAATCTTGATTCGGAGTGCTAATGTTTACGGCATGACAAAGCTGAATGTTGCCTTGATCCCCTTATTAAATTAAATGTAATATATCAAAAACAAAAAGCAAAAAGTAAAAAAGAAAGAGAAAGAGGAATCAACCCTAGAGCACATACCAACAGTTCAATTCCATTCATTTACTCCCAACAAATGTACTCATTTGAACCCCCACCCACATCCCCCTTTTCCTCTATATCAAATTATCAATAAACAAAACTACCCCACAAATGATAAGTTCAATTATTGAATTGAACAACTTCATTACAATCTTTTCAAACTTCTTTTCCGGGCATCTATCTTCTTCTTGTCTGCCTGAGCTTTTGCTACTAACCCTTCCTTCTTTTGTGCAGCATAAACCATGGATGTGTGACAAGAACTGTTAACAGCTGGCTCGGCCGCGATTGCTGCCTTTTCCTGATTGTTTCCTCTAGTTGCGTTAGTTGAGGGGGCCAACGGACTTTGCAATGGCAACGCTGCACCCGATGGTGCAGTTTTGACTTCAGCATTAAGAACCGAGGTGTTACTCTGATCAACATTCAAAGCAGTTGTAGATTCAGATATAGCTCCAGTTTTAAATTTGGGCTTTGGTTTTGCATGGATTCCAGTGTAAAGTCTGCAACATACAACAAATGAATCTAAGCTGAAGCTCTATTATGCACACAAGGGTAAAATTTACAGTAATGTAGGAATTACTATTAGGAAGACAAATAGTAACATAAATAGAAGAAAACAGAAATCCTCACAATGTGTTTCTTCACGATTCTTTTTGCTACACAAGACTCCAGAACACAGGTAATCTTAGCAATCATTCTGTTTCTGGTTACAATTCTATACCAGAAACTAATTGACTACATCGATAATCATTGGGGCTAACTCACCTGGCATGTCTAGCATACTCCTCATAATTTTCAAGCAGCAGTTTGCCAGCCTGTTCATTTAGAGCTGATTCTGGAAATGGCTCAATTAACAGACACCTAACAACCTGTTAACAATGGTAACTTAATAAATGCCTAGTCCAATTGGAAGGAATCATGAAAAACTAGATTTGACAAATCAACAATATCTACATAACTCTCTTCAACTAGGAAGGCCTGAAGAACTAATGAGATAACAGCCAAAACACTTACAATGAGAACATGTCGTAACCCAAGGCTAGGATTCCAATCCTTTTTAAGTGTGTTGACACAAATTTCTCCATTGGTTGCAATATTTGGATGGAAAATCTTTGTAAGGAAAAACCCTACAACAATGGATGGCATCATTAGTTTGACCATGTCACATAACACAAAAGCACAGATGAGAATCTTTGATGTAGGAAAAATCAAACAATATACAACTATATAGGACAAATAAATGTCCAATAGATTCTACCAAGTATATAAGATCAACTCAATATACTAAAAGCAAAATAAAGATAACATAACCAAGTTAAAATTTCAAAGGATATATAATTTTGTCTTAACAATGGAACTAGAAGATTGTATAATGACCCATTAGGACAAGCTAACCATACAAACCTTTGGGTGGAGAGTGGGGAAAATCATGAGATAGTAACAACTTCATGCGGAAAACTCCATTATCGTAAGGAGTTCCAGCTGCAGAACAAATTTGTGGTTCAGCATGACTCACTAAAAATGCTAAAACATAAAATTTGAACATAAAGCTCCATACCTGGGCCTTCAATGTCGGCATATATGGTTGAAAAATCATCATCATTTACCACAACTTTAATGCCCTCAGGAGGTGATTCATCTAGACTTTTTAATTCCTTAGCTAGTTGCTTTATTACATTTGGTGGAAGATTTTCATTGGTTGCCTAAAGAAAAAATAGAATGCCTATAATGTAAGAATATTAAGCCCAAAATTGATTAAAGAAAAAGCTAATGAAAAAGTTTCACTGTAGTCCAATGCAACTCCTCAGCGAATTACACAGATTAAAAGTCGTTATTCAAATCAAGTTCTTGACAAGCACAAGCATATTAGCAGTAAATTAACTACTAGATATGATGAGCTACATGTCAGACAGATTCATAAGCAAGTTAACTCAGCAAATAGCATGTGTGCTCAACCAAAAACTTAATGCAGTTGCCTCCAACAAAGAGTTATAAAAACACAGAAGGGTAGCTGACTAGCTGTCATAAAAGCTAAAAAGGAAAGTGCTTACCATCTGAAAAAATCCACCTGCAAGCAATGTTTTGTTCTGCCACTGAAGAGGAATGAACCCTTTCTTGACCAATTTACTTAATGCTCAGATTCACTGCTCAGAATGAAGCAATCAAAATGCAGAAAAAAACACCTGCAAAGGTGGTCTGATGTCAAATTAAGTTAAATGTAAAACTAATCTGATTTGGTGCAAAATTCCCAAAGTATACATATTATGTGCATAGACTAGACTAGCATATATAAATGGATAAGATTGTCAAAATAGGACATAGTAAAATAACAGAAACACAACAAGCATTACAAAGGGGGAGGATTTCATTGAGACGCATCACACCATATTCCCATAACCTAGGCAGCAGGCACTTATGTCAATATGGTACTGCCGTTGTACTTCATCTTAACTCAGACTGGTGACAGCTATCTATCTCCAGATAAACCAATCAAGCTAAAATTAAAGTTAATAGTCAATTGCAATTCAAACTCGTTTTCCATTACATAATTTAACCCCTTTCAGTAAACAACTGTCACAGTATACACATGAAAATGCACATACATAGAAGTACACTATGACAACTTAGGACTAATCCTATTGCAAACACATTTCTACCCACCATAAAAACCAATCAAGTAATAAGCAAACTCAAAATCAATTGCAATTCAGAACCAAAAAATTCCATTAAGTCAATAAGTAATTAAAAAAAACAATTATGGACCAATCCCCATTGCAGAACAACATATACATAACAAGTTAGAAAATTTGGACATCACCCAATTTGCTTTACATTACAAGAACTTGAGCTTAACAAGTCCATCACTCAGGAACTGAATTTTTCCACAAAAGTACCAACACAACAGGAAACAACTAGAAAAAAAAATAATTGCACTACCAGTACAACAACACACACAAAGTTGTCCCTCTCTCTCTCTCTCTCTCTCTCTCTCTCTCTCTCTTTTTTCTCTCTATCTTTTCAAATGTGTAAATCGAGCAACAAACTCATCAGCACACACGCACATTCCCATAACCAGAATTAAATTAACCTACACCACCAAAACCCTTACTATGTCCACACATTGTAAATAAATAAAAAAACACAAGAAATCAATCTTACCCCATAAAAGAAGAAAGAAACTAAAACAAACTACGAGAAAACTCTTAATCAGATCAAAAAGAGACCCGATCACACAGGGAAACCCTAATGAGCAACATGAAGCACAAGAATCTGTAAATCCAACACCAAATAAATCTCACCGCAAAAACCCAAAAAAGATTAATCACAACGCATGTCGTAGAATTTTTAAAAAAATAATAAATTGCGGTAAGATCAAAGTATTTAATTTGAAGTCAGAAATTTGAGAAATGTAACATTTTGGTGGCACAATTCGCCACAAAATGCAAAACCCACAAGAGAAAAAAAAAAAAAAAAAAACTTGAGATGAGAATTCACCTTCAGAGGCGCTTAGGAAAGAGAAAATTTGGAGAAACAGAAGAACAAGAGAGAGTGGGAAAGAAAGAAAGAAAGAAAGAGAATTATTGGTGGACTTTGGAGTTTGAGGAGAGAAATTATATTTATTTATTCATGAAAAAGGTGAGACGCTGCTATTGATATTGATATAATTTTATAAATGGAAAAAATAATAAACTAAAAGTATTAAAATATTTTTATTTGAAATGTGTGTTTGAAACGACGTGTCGGTAGGGCAGGTGTTGTGGATTTATATAGACGTTGGATTCGCAATGTCTACCTTCCGCGCAAACATGTCCCACGCGCATTGTCAATGGTTATGTCACTAAGATCATGTTAATACTTACTCTCTCTCTCTTTTTTCTTTTTCTTTTTTTGGAGAGAGAAAGATCATATTATTATTAATACTTGATAGTTAATATTGTTTGCATTTTTTTATAAATATAAAATTTGATTCTTTAATATTTTTTTTATATTTTAATGTGGTTAATTTGATATGGGAATCTGGAAAAGAATTATGGATGTAACCACAGTGAGCAGTTCATGGAGTGGCTAAAAGTTAAAGTAATAGATAATTTAAAGAATAATTTAAGAGTAAAGTAGTAGTCTAATAAAAATAAAAGAAAAAAGGAGATATTGTTTTTTTATTATAGTTATAGATTCCTTTATTATAGTTATAAATAAAATAATTTATTAATAAATTAAATCTTGGAATGTGTATTTATTATATTTTTTAATAAAAAATTATTTAATAATTTATTTTTTAAAGATCACATGTTTTCTTTATGAATGACAATTTTACTTGAGTTAAGTTTAACATATATATTTTGAAATTTAAAATAGATAATTGGTGGTTGAGTGAAGTATTATTTAAGTTATATGGTACATAAATGTAGTGAAATTTTAAAAGTAAAAGATGAGATGATAATTTTTTTTTATTTTCAGTCAATACTTATTTTAATAAACTTTTAAAATATATAAAATAATAGAGTAACAAAAATTTATATTTTTAATATTTCAATTATATTAATTAATATTATATAATTTCATAGTGTAAAAATAAAAATCACCCCACTCAAAAAATATCATTAACCAATTCTCAAACTCATTTTATTGGATCTTATTTCTTTAATGTTAAAGTTAGAGAATTGCACTTTAAAAAATAAAGTGCAATAATAATTATTAATTAAAAAATTAATAATTGATATTATAATTAAATTTATATTTTATAATGCTTGAACTTGATTTTATCATAAGTTTTTATTGTTAATTTTTATATTAGTAATTGCAATTTAACCTCTAAACTACATTCTTACTTTAAAAGTGTTAAATCCGATTTCTTTCATGTTTTCTTTCAATTTATGCATCATGAATTAAAAAAGTTGAAAATATTTTGGAACTATTTTTAATTAAAAAAAATCTCAACAATTTATATTCATCTTTAATATAAGTTTATATTATAAAAATTCACAAATTTCAATTAAAAATTATGCTAAAAGTTAATATATAAAAATTGCATCTACCAAAAATCATTAATTTAAGTGGTTTGACATTTGTACTCTTAAACTAGAGATCCAAAGTCAATCTAATAGTAAAGTGGTTAGTGCAGTATGTATATTCTTAAGTTTGAACTTTATTATTATCATTGTAATTTTTATATAGATAAAAAAAAATTACTAGGACAAGAGTTTATGTGTAACACTCAAGCTTGGGAGGGTGTTCCATGAGCTTGTTCTTGAAATAGTGAAGTTTGAGAAAGAAGATCTTAAGAATAAGGAGCAAAGAGTCACTTTCTCTCACTCAACTTCACTATTTCAAGAACAAACTCATGGAACCTCTCTTATGCCTAAGTGTTACATTAGACATGACAACTAAACTCGCACTCACATAGATCTATTTGACTTTGACCTAATTTTGACAGGAGAAGTCTATTTTGATTGGGTACAAATTTAGATACGAGTTTTCTCTTACTTAAAAATTCATATCGTGTAAGTTTGAGTATATAACTCTCCGTACTTATCTTATTATATATTTTTTTACAATAAATATTGAAAATATAAATTATTTTAATAATTAGATATTTTAAATTATGACAATAATTAAATGGAAAACTTAAAATTATATGTTTAACTAAAAAATATATTAAAATTTCTATTTGTAAGTTTTTTATTTATTATTTTTGAATATTATTTATATTATAATATAATTATTAACTTAAAATTTACTTAATTTAAAATGTGCATGTAAATTAAAAAAATTTAAAAACTATAATGAATTTGTTGTGGATTTATCCTAACCCGAAAAAATTTGATGGGGATGAAAATAAATTTTAAAATTATAAATTTATCTCTTTAAAATTCTAATCTATTTTGTCTTTTATGAGGACAGGGACAAGAAAAATAAAATCTATTATCATTCTTATTAGATTTTGATCTTCATCTTACATATAAAATCATATCTAGATATACACTTTATTGCTATATAACTCATATAATAGAAAATAGTTATATTTTTAAATGAAAAACTACATCTAAGTATTATCCTAAATAAAAACTAAGGCAGAATGCAAATTTCAATTATTGAACATCTTCATAACAATCTTGTCAAAAAAATTTTTTTTTTCACCCTATTGTTGGCCAGATGCCAGTGGCTGGTTCCTATGTGTGGACCACTCAATTTTGCAGTTTTGACTTCAGCATTAAGAACTAAGATATTTTTTTTCCTGAATTAAGAACTATGATGCGAGTGTGATCTACATTCATAACACACACATATACATGTATATATATATATATATATTTATATATATATATATATATA